CATGATATGAATAGTTAAATATTGTTTTATGAATAATTATTGTTTTATAGGAACTAAAAGAAAAGGATCAAGACTTATTATATACAGAAGTCAGTTAAAATTTGCCTCGTATAAAAGTGTCATTTTAAGTACTATATTGTTTATAGGTTATTTCTTATATTATACTCGAAGAAGTGGAATATAAACTAAGAGATGCTATCAGTAGTAAAGAGAAGGTACATGTACAGTGTATGTCATACTACTACCAGTACCAAACTCTTTGGTGTACATTTAATTTATTGATGATTTTTGCTTGTACTTATAATAGGAAACAATTGAATTGAAGCAAGAACTATCAATGATGAAAGTACTAGAGGTTAGCTATTATTTATTGCACTAGTCAGGCGTGGCCTGACTCTTGTACTATGTCATCATAATTATAAAGTACAAAACTTTTTAATCTTAAAAATTCCTTGAACATTTACTTGTCAATACTTGATGGCTATTAATCATCCTCACCTATATGTAGGCAGTAGTAGGGTTTTTCCCTACAATTCTATTGTCACATATTTTGTAGTCGTAGCTTGCTATACTATTTGTAGGCATTATTTATAAACTTAGCCTTGTTATTTGTCGATGTGTCATTAGTTTTTCCTATCAGATATTCTACTGTACTATGTAGCTAGAGTTAATTGGTGGATTGGTGGTTGCAGCAAACAAATTTTGCCATTTTGTATCATTCTGCCATTTGTCATTGATGCAGTGACATTTGGGTGCTAAATTGCCAATATGAAACCTGCCAATTGCAAAATGTAAACAAATTGTTTAATTTAACTCGTAATATTTCCAGCTGCACTGCATGATAATATTTTAATTATTAGGAAGAATTTTTAAGTGATGTTGAATCAATTAAAGAAGTTGAGGTATATCTCACTAGTTTGTATCAATTATAATTATGTAATACCATTTATTGTTTATTATTTTAATGATTGTTATTAATTGGACGGGTGTAGCCTTTTGGCTGTTTCTCGTGTGGTTGTCTTGACTGATAGTTGTCTGTTTGTACTTGGTAGCATCCATATACCATAAATGTTCAAATAAAGGCTGGGCTTGAATAAACGCCTGGTACTAAGAATCTTCAAGTATAGATACGCATATTTTACTCAATATAAGCACCACAATCTTTAGAGTGTCCCAAATGGCCTAATTTGTTAAGCTGAGTGCAAGGAACCTGGAGGTCTGGGTTCGAATCTCAGTTTTACTTTTTCTTTTTTTATTTTACGCAATTTTTTTGTCCTGGAAAGAAATAAACGCCCGGGCTTTTATTTGAACATTTACAGTAAATAAAAAGGAAATAATATAATTGATTGCCTTACAGTGTCATTACTTGATCATTGCAAAATATCAATAGGAAGAACCACTTTATGAAGAGTTGACTGTATTGAGCTCTCAGTTTAATGAGATAAAAGAAGAAAACAAAGAATTGTCAGACAAATTATCAAAAATGAAGGTTGAGTATTTGAGATTACTTTCACTTTCTAGTAATACTGATTCAGGTTAGAGTAGTTTTA